AAAAATGAATGCCACCGGGACCCGAAAATAACAAATTTTAATTCAAAACCCCCAATAGTCACCCGATTAATTATAAAAATTAGACAATTAACACCCAAAATATGGGTAAAAAGATAGGAACGCAACGAGCCTATCACATGTCATTAGGTTCTATTACATAAAATCTATAAGCCTTGGAATTTTCAGCATATCCTATGAATATGCAATCAATTCCCCTTTCACCCAAAGTTTTCCTCTTTGGCTCCGACAATTTTACAATTGCCCTACAACCCCATACCCGCAAATATTTTAAATTTGGCATTTTTTGTACCAAACCTCATATGGGGTTGTCTTGTTTCGTTTGTTTGGAACCCTATTTAGAACATAGCAGGCCATGAGCATGGCCTCTCTCCAAAACCTTCACTCAAACCCGAGTAGGAAAGCATGGAATTAACCATTTCCTTTAACACTCGATTTTTTCGTTCGGTCACACCATTTTGTTGTGGTGTATACGGAGCTGTTTTGCAAAGATAAAAAAATAACTTGGAATAACATGTATAAATCGGTCAGGGACCAGTGAATGAAGATGAGGTGCAAAGGTTGGATTATTTATGAATAATGAAAAGGTGGAACTATTGTAAGAACACCGCTAAAAGGTTGGATTATTAGTTTCCATTTTCCCTATATTCTCCTCCTCGATCAGTCCTAAGACATTTAATCGGAATACCCAATTGCAATTGAACCTCATTTTTATACACTTTAAATTTCTCTAAAGCTTCATCCTTAGTGTGTAATAAATACATATAACAAAACCGAGTTGAATCCTCAATAAAAGTAACAACATACTTTTTATTGCCAAGGGAAGGAGTTGAGTGAAAATCACATAGATCAACTATGTACAAGATCCAAAATAGCCGAATTCCTTTCAACATTAGGAAACAGTTGTTTTGTGATCTTAGTAAGCATGCAAGTCCTACACTTATCATTGTTAATATCAAAAGCCGGAAAAAACCATCTTTAGGCATTTCATGTATTTTTTATAAAATTAACGTGAGCTAGTCTAGCATGCCAAATCATACAATCATTCATGGAAGATGCCACAAAACAGAATTATCACTAGAAATTAATTTATTCACAACATTTAAACGAAACATGCGATTTGATAAATATCCAAAACCAACAATCACACCACACTTGGACAGAATATATTTATCAATTTCAATCACTTGTTTGAACCCTAAATTATTCAACACACTTCCCGAAACAAGATTCTTTCAAACCTTCAGTACATATAAAACATCAAACAACGTAATTGTTTTTCCAGAAGTAAATTCTAAAACAACTACACCCTTTCTCAAGATTGGGGCCATTGACTCGTCTCCCATGCGTAAGAAGGAACCACCTCTACTAGTTCTAGGTCTTCAAACCATCCTTTATCCTTACACACATGGCTCGTAGCCCACGAGTCAATCCACCATGCACAATCATCATCTTATACATAAAAAGATTCCGGAATGAGTGATACATAATTCTAGACAGAATTATCAAAGTTAGTCAAGAACAGACCTCCTTTCTGTGGAACCGGGTCCATAGACCGTTCTTGTCCATTCCCACTCGTTCCAGCGCCATTCTTGTTCAGTTTCACATGGAAATCACGCTTGACATGCCCAACCTTTTGACATCTCCAACAAACCAAACCTTTCAGTTTCTTGTTGGTTTTGTCATGATCTTCATATTTGCGCTTTTTGCCTTTCCCCTTATTGATCGGGTTAGATATTTTATCCTTAACTAAGTGAACATGAGGCTGTCCAGATTCAACTTCACCCATAATTTGGTCATTCTCTTGCGCACGAAGGGACTCCTCAATGTGCAAGTGACTCCCAAGTTGAACCAATGACAATTCCTCATCTTGATGTTTTAATTTACGTTTAAAGTCCTTCCAAGAGGGTGGAAGTTTGTCAATTATACTCGACACATCATAGGATTCATCAATACCTGTCTTGTGGAGTTTAAATTGACCAAGAACATGAAAGAGTTCATTGTAATGTTCCATAACCGACCTTGATTCAACCATTTTATAATTATTAAAATCACTCACCAAGAACTTCTTACTAGAAGCATCTTCGGCGATGTATTTTGACTCAAGAGAATTCCACAATTCCTTCGCACTCTCAACGTTTTGGTAAATATCAAATAACGCATCGGACATACCGTTAAGAATGTGGCCTCTACATATGTAGTCATCATTCTCCCATTTTTTACGCCTCCTAGTTTGTTCCAAGGTTTCATCCTCCATCACTTCCGGCATCAGAGTGCTCAACACGTACACGACCTTCAAAGTGGTGAGAAGGAAGTGCATCTTCTTTTGCCATCTACGGAAATCATTCCCTTGAAACTTGTACAGTTTGCTGAACTTGGTTGTCATCTCTTGCACGGTACTCGTGATTATCACAAAGGAATATCAATTCGATTGTTGGAGTTCGTGTGTATATACGGGGTGATAATCAAGTAATTGGATTGCTTAAGGATCGTGTAAGTTCACTTTTCGGATTGATATTTCTCCCTTATGCCTGGGTTAACAAGAAATTCAATCTAGGATAAATCTTAAGGACACTCTAGAATTTAGGCACAAGAACTAGAGCCAAACTAGTGAGTATATGGACTGCTCTCTTAATTTGAATGCCAAAAGTGATAAAGATATGTTGTATCTTCCCTCTTCCTTCTATGTACGAAATATGGTGATATATGCCCATATTACACGTCCCAGGCAATTACAACACGTTTGAGAATAACCGTGGCAGTTTTTGGAAAACTGCACGAAACTGCTCAACCGCTCTAGACCTCGGTCTAGAACCACAGAGCTGGTCTACTGAGTGTTCTAGCGTGAGTTCCACTGCTGTAGACACTGGAATAGAACTCGTTCTTATATACAAGTGTGCACTCCACACCTACTAGCTTGTATTAGAACACAGTTCTAATCCTCATTGGCACTCATGTCATTTCCAATTACACAAAACGGTTGGTGACACTAAAATCATCGACACTTCTTTCAAGTTGGGCGATGACCTCGTCCCTGGGGTCCTTGGCGGCTGTGGTGGCGCCTTGCTAATTTTGGACGCGGGTGGCGTGAGCCATGTTGATCTGATGGCACACATCCTCCTCACGCAACTTGCCTTTGCCTTTGTCAAGGCGGGGCCGATCCGCTGTCCGGGATACGAACCCCAAACTTTACTTGGGTGAGCCAAGTTCACGTTCACCAAGCTGTCCCACCATCCTCTCCGATGTTGGCCGACGGTTTGTGTGGAAGATTTGAACCATTATAAAACATTTATGTAATCATGTTGCAGTTATGTGCCATGAACCGTTATGAGAATGGCAGTACCATTATGGCCTTTATGTGCTATGAACCATTATGTGTAATCATGTAATCATGTTCAGTTCAAAATTTATGTGTTATGAACCATTATGTCCACGGTTTCATATCTTGTTTTGAGGTCAGTTGTATCAGTTCAAATGTGATAGGATGATGGCAGATAATGGTTTCAGGTCATGCTTGTTTCAGTTAAGATTTTGAGTTGCAATTTTAGATCACCATTTCATTAGGTGCAATTTGACTTCACAATTTCATAGACCTAAAATGAGAAAAGTTGAGAATGCTTTCACTTCATGCATGGTTGCACTTCTTGGTTTTACAAGAAAAGCAGTTGAGTTATTCATATGTTTGCGCCTGTTTTCAAATAGTATTATAGCATAGCTTGTTTCCCCCCTTTTTACGTAAATTATATTAACAGAACAAGTAGTGTGCACATTAATGTCAACAGACTTCATAACAACAATATATATAATAACAACTATGATAATCAACAACTCAAAAGTTAATGAAAACAAACTTCAGTAATTCTTCATAACAACTGAAGAATCCAGAACAACAATTCATCACTACAAGTACCAAATTCAACATCAACTACCAACTGATCAACCATAAAACTTCAACTACCAACTTCAACTACAACTACCAACTGAAAACTTCAAGTTCATTCAAAACAGCAATGACCATAACAGCTACACCCTTTAGGATTACAACATACAACAAATGACTACACCAGCTAAAATACCCCTACAAGATTACATAATGGGAGCCTCACAAGCTTTCCATTCTAATGCCTTCTTCTTTTCATTGCCAAAACAAATCACCAACAGCAAAGGTACCATTATTGCTCCTATGATACACCATATCAAACTCCACATCTTGTATTTTTCTGCACTGGCTTTGCCTCATCAACGAGGCCTTGCAATTTGTTTAATTTCCCCAGAAGCCTCGGTATGATCACCTTCGACCTTGCACACATTTCTGGATCAACCCATTCAAACTTGTTGCAGCAGCCACCTATACCCTATTTTTAATAATAAATTTGCTTGAACAAGGATCAATATGGACTACAAATCAGAAATTATAATCACTGAATACCCTTACTCTTGAGCAGGCGATGAGTCGTCTCCCTGGATTATCATCTGTCCATGATGTCATCATCTTTACAGAAATTCCACATCCGCAATTTCCATAAGCCATGTCTCGTGTTCCAAAAACCTGATTCACATACGAAATGAAAATGAAAAATATGGTTTCGATATCTCATTAACAAGAAAAACCATACTCACCGCGAATGAAAACCCACCGGAGGAGAAGTCGTCGAAGTAGAGGAGAGAAACGACCGGAAGAGAAGATCGGAGCTATTCTCTGAAAATATGCACACTAGAAACAGAAGAGAAGATCGGGGAGCCTAAGGCTCGATATAAAGATGATGCTGACTAGGAATCCACACTATACCACACTAATGCTTAATAATTGCCAACTCAGCATTTTTAACAACCTAATGAATGACCGGACGAAATTAACGCTCAATTACCGAGTTCAGATACCTGTGACTAGGGATTTATTAGCACTCAATTACCGAGTTCAGATACCTAATGAACGACTGGACTATTAGTACTCTTTTACTCCCCTAAAAAGTTGTGCTGCTCGCGAAGCTCGGAGGACTTAAAAATGGAGATCATCCGAGCAACTTGTGGCGGTTTCCATCGTTATAACTTCAAATTGCTGCAGCCATTATCGGTTCATCATCCTCCATTTCGAAGAAGTGCTCCAGCTACTGACTTAATCCTATCCACTAAGCCCAAACTCCGTCATCAGAAATCCACTGCGTGCGCACTTCTTGAAGATAGAGATTCGGGTGAGGAAATCCAGGAACAGACTTCGTTTTATTGGGTTTCCTTCTTTTCTGCGTATCTACGTAAGACAGTCTTTCACTTGAATTTCCAGATTCCGCAGCCAAGAGCGCAAATGCAGATGTGTCGTTGCTAGTGAAGGTGAGCCGATTCTCCGCCTGAAATCAATGGACGTGAAGCTTACCGTTCTTCTTTGTTTCCTATAGTTTGAAGCGCACTGGTTTTAACTCTTCAGTTTTCATTCAGAAAAGGGCATCTGAGGTATCACATGATTTGAAAGGAACTTCTTTATTTCTTGTTGGTGAGCACAACTACATTTGAAACATCGTTTTTTCCCTTTCACGATCATATCATATTGCATTTAATTTTACAATACTAATCTTGTAATGAATCACGATTCTTGACAATAAAAATTCATGCTAACTACTCAATAAAGTTGGGATCAAGTAGATGATAGTGATGGTGATATTTTGCAACTCTTTTTTAAAGGGATCAATAGCTCCATTAAATCCAACTTGGGGAAGCATCTTGCAGATGCACTCAGATACTACTATATTGACAGGTAAGCAGATAATTGTAGCTACAACGAATAAGTTTCCATGTCCTTGATTGTTAAAAAAAAGTTTAGTGCAGTGATAGTGTAGTTGAAGACTCTGTAGGAGGAAAGGCGGCTGCAGCATCAATTATAAAGACAGATAAGGAGGGATTTCAGGATTCAGAGGTGAGTGCTTTGTTTTATATTTTTCGGTACACTATTTACTACTCCCTCCCCGTTCATAAAATTTGGCCAATTTTGACTTGAACATGTAATCACAGAGTGTAAATTGTGTGGTTGAGATTTGTGGAGAATAGAGAAAAATAATATTATCCTCAAAATCATTATTTTAAAGGGGAGGTGACGAAGTTTGTAGGACAACTATATATACCCCTTCTGTCCCCTAAAACTTGATCTTAGTTGACTTGTATGTGGAATAAGAAGGTAAAGGTTGTGTTTTTGGGATTTATGCAGAGGAAATAGGAAAAATTCTAACCACATGTTTATTACTTTAAATGGAAATGATAAGGATTTTTAGGACTACCAAATAAGGAGAGTTGTCAAAATTTGTGGGACAAATGAAATAGGTAAACTGTTAGTATTTAGTGGGATGGAGGGAATACTTGTTAGTTGTGGAGTTCAAATCGAGTTCTGTGTATGCCTTCATGATGCTTTTCTCTCTCCAATCGTGCATTGGGCCAAGTATCCTCGAACATTGCTTTCTTACTAGGTTTGAGCCATTAAGAATGTGAGAGCTAGTCCTAGTCTAGACTCTAGAGTTGTGTTCGATAAATTAATCGTGAGAGAAATAAAATTGTTAGAATCAAACAAAGCTATTCTTATTGTTAAATTAACTAGTGCCCGACATTGTCAAGGCATACAAATATTTTCTCCAACAAGTAATTTATTCCATAACAAATATTCTTTAAATAGAGAGGCTGCTAGAGTTCAAAACAAGAATGGAAACAAGAAATGGAAACATTAATTAAACTGGAATAAAGAACTACAATAGTAATAGGAATCTGTTAAGGGCCTTGGTACAAGATCTAGTCCAAGGCCGGTGAGGATTGAGAGAGGAATGTGAAGCTCTGGTGTCTGGAATAAAAACCCTAACTTCCTGCCCTGGGCAAGGAAGGTGATCACTGGTTCCACCAAAAGATCAAAAGATTAAATATTCCAAAGCTGATAATTTATTCCAGGAATAAGCCTTATATATGCAAAAGATAGTTTCCTAAAACAAGAATAGGAAAGAGCCTTTAACTACTGTAATGAAGGAATAAGAAGTTGACTAAAGTATGGAAAGCTAATTAATAGGAAACAACTAAAATAAGGAGAGCCAATTAAATAGAACAGCCACAATAATTTCTAGATTAATTAATTACACTCCTTTCTGCGACGCTGATATACACGGCAGAAACGGCCTGTATCATCACTTCCCCCCGTTAGCAACGAGCTTGTCCTCAAGCTCGAAATCTGGAAAGGCTTCCCTTGTTGTTTGCGTTCAATTTGCTGAGCCAAGCTCATTGCAATGCCTAAGCTTCCTGGAGCTTGAAACTCCAATTCCAAACGGATTTCCTGACAAAGTCCTGCCATGAATGCATTGACCTCGAATTAACTGGGTAGCCCTTCAACATGTACCAATAGTCGCTGGAACAAACTGATGTTTTCTTCCACGGTTCCGGTTTGTTTGAGTTGAAAAAGATCTCCCGATGGGTTGAGGCTTAATGGAGGGCCAAAACGAAGAAGACAATTCTCTGAAAACGTCTTCCAGGAGGTGCCAGCTTGGAGTTTATCAGCCCAAGGTTGAGCATCTCCCACCATGTGGAAGGTGGCCAGGCCTACATAGGTGCAGTTTGTTGGTGTGCGAAGAACCACTCACAGCGTTTCAACCAACTGAGAGGGTCGCTTGTGCCGTCAAAGGACAGAAACTCGATTTTGGAATAACAGGGAACCATACTGGAATCACAACGGTCGCGATTCTGGTTGTCATGGAGTGAGCTCGAACTACTCTGGCGACTGGTGTCATCATTTGAGCTTGTAGATCTGCTGCTCAATGCTGTGAGTTGTGCAGAATAAGAATTCATCATATCAATAATTTTTGCCTCGAGAGTCCCTTGTCTCTGGTTGATGTCTGCCATGAAACTTTTGAAGGTTTCAACATTAAGAGTTTCGTCGCCCATTGTCCCGGATGCTGATACGAAATTGTTAAAGGCCTTGGTACAAGATCTAGTCCAAGGCTGATGAGGATTGAGAGAGGAATGTGAAGCTATGGTGTCTGGAATAAAAATCCTAACTTCCTGCCCTGGGCAAGGAAGGTGATCACTGGTTCCACCAAAAGATCAAAAGATTAAATATTCCAAAGCTGATAATTTATTCCAGGAATAAGCCTTATATAGGCAAAAGATAGTTTCCTAAAACAAGAATAGGAAAGAGCCTTTAACTACTCTAATGAAGGAATAAGAAGTTGACTAAAATATGGAAAGCTAATTAATAGGAAACAACTGAAATAAGTAAAGTTAATTAAATAGAACAGCCAGAATAATTTCTAGATTAATTAATTAGGCTCCTTTCTGCGACGCTGATATACACGGCCGAAATGGCCTGTATCAGAAACAATATCCTTATTTCCAATTTCAGCCACTTCTAATTGTTGACTTAAATTGGAATAAGGAAATATAATAATAATAATAATAACAACAACAACAATAATAATAATAGTGGTAGTGGTAGTGGTAGCCATAGCCGCAGACGACAACCGCTATTTCCCTTAGTGGTCACTGTTACCGCAACAGCCAACTGCTGTGCTACAAAGAGTCTTCTAGCGCCAGGCTACTGCTGAAAAAAAATGGTTTTACTTTAATATAATGACCACCTTTGAGCTAAAATAATTAAGGGACCCACAACTCGTTTGTGGCAGGACTAAGTCCTAATGTATAGTACTCCGAAGGTGAATGCAAACATATATTGAAGTGTGAAAAACCATTTAGAAATGAATGAGAAATTGTTCCCCACACTGGCCTAAAAATCAGTTCCGGAAAAGACTTGGTCCCACACCGAAAATGGAGAGTTAAGAAAGTGTCCTTCAAGGTTGTTAAACTCGAGATCCTAGCACGGATCGGGCAGGTCTAGGAGATCGTAACTCGGGGATCGTAACTCGGATCGTAAGATCCTACCATGCAATATATACACACACACACAATTCAATTCTATGTAAACACTGGATTTATATTAATATTAATAATTAATAATATAATATAATAATAATAACAACAACATAATGTCAAGACTGAAATCAATAATATAAAACACTTGGAACATAACAAGTGTAAATATAAATTACAAAACATTTGAGGGGGCTATTTTCAGAAGAGATAACCCACTTGCCATGAGCGACTTATTATTCCTATCAGAACTAGACTAAACTCTAAACCTACGAAAGAAGCGAAAGATTTTTAAAAAAGAAAACGGATGAAGCGAACGATAGAGAGAACAGAGCGAGAACAAAAAAGGGATTAAGAAAACGACGAAGAACGGTGATTTGACGCCGTCGAAGCAGGAAAGCTTAACGTTGCAGGTGACGCTTTGGCTTCCTTCGTCGTAAGTCATCAACAACAACATCCAAGCCTTAATCCCAAAAGAATTTGGGGTCGGCTAACATGAATCGATCTATGATATCGATGCCAAAAAGAGAAGGCGGACAAGAAAAGGAAAAAAAGTAAGATAAAATGAATAAAATAAAGATACATAAATATAAGATAACAATAACACAAGAATATAACCAAGATAAAAGAAAAATAAATAAAAGAGCATAAAAAAGCTAGAAGATAAAAATAACATAAGAATATAAAAAGATAAGGAAGACGATAAAAGAAACAAGAGAGGAAAGGTAGACAGGACATCAATCGTCCACATGGATGTGCGCCCTCCACTTTGCTCTCTCCAAAGCCATACTCTCATCCAACCCAAGAAGACGCATATCAGTTCTGATTACTCTAATCCAAGTCTGTTTGGGTCTTCCCCTCCATCTCTTCTCTGACTCTTCTCCCCACCCCTCAAGTCGTCTAACAGGTGCATCACTCGGTCTTCTATGCACATGCCCAAACCACCGCAAACGAGACTCCTGCATCTTATCTTCTATATGTGCTACTCCCACCTTTTGTCTGATTACCTCATTCCCCAGACGGTCTTTTCTGGTATGTCCACACATCCAACGCAACATATGCATCTCTGTCACACTCATCTTTTGAATGTGGCATTGCTTCACCGCCCAACACTCTACGCCATACATTAATGCCGGTCTAATTGCTGTACGATAAAATTTACCTTTCAGTTTAGTCGGCATACCTCGATCGCATAGAAATCCTGAAGCACTTTTCCATTTCATCCACCCAGCTCTGATTCTATGACATACATCTCCATCTAATTCACCATCCTTCTGAATTATGGATCCCAAGTAACGGAACATATCACACACCGGTATCTCCTTACCATCAAGAGTAATCCCACTGTAGCTACTGCTTCTACCTCCACCGAACTTGCACTCCATATACTCAGTCTTGCTTTGACTCAGTTTGAAACCCTTGCTCTCCAATGTTTGTCGCCATACTTCCAACTTTGCTTTAACACCGGATTGTGTCTCATCAATCAATACAATATCGTCGGCAAACATCATGCACCACGGTACGATGTTTTTAAATTCATCGTTCCAGACTCAGTCGCTCAGGCCGCCCTTTGTTTCTCGATTTTTGAGCTGAGAAATCGTAGCTCGATTAGATCGACGATTTATACGAGTTACATGTTTACTCGTCGATCCGGCGATCCCGGGCTACTTTCCGATCCCAGCAGCGATCCAACTCGACCCTCCCTTTTCTAATCGTAAAACCGTACGATTCACCGAGTTAGATCGCGATCTTTACAACCTTGGTGCTCTTTTATAAGCTTTCTTTACCTATAAGGTTGGGCCCTTAAGGCACCGAAGTTTTGTTGTGCGATGAGACCCGTATACAATGAGCGTGAAATTAACTCTTCACGCGTGCGCCGCTGCCGTTTGTCTAGCCAGGTCAGGGTTAGGGTAGGGGTCGGGTCTTTGACCTGGTAATTCCGGGTGTTCAACAGTCCGCGGACTCGAGATTACATTTTTGCTACATTTTTTATATATTTTCAGATAAGTCCATTAAACAGAAAAG